ATATATATATATATATATATATATATATATATACACATATATTTACATATTTGTATGTTAAATGTACGGTCTAGGAAAACTTATCTTTACGTGGCTTATGCTCATAAATCTTAGTATGTTGTCGTTATTTGTTGAAAAAAAATATTGCCATGTTTTGTAAACTTGTCATATGGAATACGTTAGAAGCGTTTTCTTTCAGTCATTCATGCACTTTTCACTATTATTTCACTATGTATATTTCAATTTCTTTTCGATTAAATCATCATATAATTTTTGTTTTGTTTTTAATATCCCGCAAAAATTATCAATTTACTGGATAATTTTCAAAATATGTATGAAATATAAAATATTATTTTATTCCAATATTTATCTATAGATATGCGAGGTATGTCGAATTGCGATAGGTTTGAATTATTACTTCTCATTTTGCATTGGAAACACTTTACAACTTGGTTATAATTTGTATAAACAAATCACAAAATTACCTTGTCATTGTTCCTTAAATTTTTATTATGATTTAAAATGATGTATTTTAAATTAATTGAATTCTGGGATAATTTGCCAAAAATTATTGATAGAATTCATACAGTTTACAGATTCAATTTGTAATACAATTATGCTATCAATATCACGTGTGTTTATTCCAACATGTTTGCGCAGAAAAATATCAAGAAGAGGGCGAGAGAAACACAGTTAAGTCGTATTATTTATTTTCTACGTTCAATGCGGCAGCATCGCGATTGTATTCACAAAGTTAACACGTGTGGCCTTGCTGTGCATTCGTTTATTTCGATTAAATAGAGTTGTTTCTTTCGAATATGTCTTGTACAAAAAATTCGATTGATTTTCGGTTTTTTTTAAATCTAGCTTTTTGAATACAAGGTAAATAAAAATTCTGAAGAGGATTTGAAGAAAAAATATCTGAATGTAATTTTTAATTAGAAATCGATATTTAATATTAAGAAAAATAAGATAATTTTGGTTTTGCTTCATTAATTCTTTTTCTTATTTATTCTCTTTCTCATTTCTCGTATTCTTTTTCACCCGTTTATATAAATTGATATATTTTTCTTGAATCTGATGTCTAATGAACTTCGATAATTCCATCAGTTGTTGTAATTTCTTCATATCTATCCGGATAAAATCACGAGAGTACACGTAGTGACAATTTTCTATTTCTTTTAGATCTATGCTATCTTTAAAACACGATTTGACCAACATCTTTTCTAGTTTGTACTGGAATTTGATTCGCGAATAATTAATTAATAATTGTGACGTTTCAAGATATGAATGTTGTCAATCATAGAAGAATGATCGTCAATTAATTTGCATTATACAAAATCTTGCGTTTCGAGAAAATTTTACGTGAAGTTATCATTATATTTACCATTTGCGATAATTAGAATATTTACATTGGATTTATATGTGCGCACGTTCATTGTGTATCTCGGCTTATCATGTACCACACGTCTGCATAAAGTTAATAAAACGGAGTAATGAATGATGTCATCATCGATTACCACAGCTTGTTGCACTTTTTCGGTTCAATAATTAAATTATTTAAATAAAAATTGTATCAAATTTATTTGATACAGATCTTTTGATTTATATATGATTATTAATAAATCGATTAAGAATTTTTTTGTATTAAAAATTATGATTTTTAATTGAATAAAAATTTAATTTAGTATTATATAAATAATATAATATTATATAAATAATATAATAAATTCTATTTTGTATTAAATAAATTTAATTTCGTATCTGTTCAATGGATTTTCTGTTATTTTGGTATAGAAGTTCAAATTTCAGATCTTGATTTTTAAAGTTAAATTTTTTTTTCTTTAATATTAGAATTATCAGTCTACTACTTAATTTATTATATATATATATATATATATATATATATATATATATATATATATATATATATATATATATATATATATATATATATATATATATATATATATATATATATATATATATATATATATATATATATATATATATATATATATATATATATATATATATATATATATATATATATATATATATATATATATATATATATATATATATATATATATATATATATATATATATATATATATATATATATATATATATATATATATATATATATATATATATATATATATATATATATATATATATATATATATATATATATATATATATATATATTTTAAATGATTATAATGATTGTAAAAATGATTTCATAAAAATGAATAGGTATAATTATATAATTATCTTAATGAAATATTAATTTTTCAATAATCATAAAACAAATATTGTTTTAGTATTAAGAAAATAAAATTTAAGATTATTTAATTCTATTCAATCAAATAATTTTTTCTTCTAATTTTTTAAGATCTTCAAGTACTAGATATATTCAAATATGAGATATGAAATATTTAATATCTAGATACAGATTTACAATAATCACATTTTCTTTATTTATTTCTGAAATATTCTTATGAATATTGTAATCAATATTGTATATATGTACATATAAGTAGATAATATAATATATCAATATATCAGTAGATGGTTCAACTTTCTAGAAGAGAAGAGGAGTCTTCTTATGAATATGAATTCTTGTTAAAATGGAGCAATGTAATAATTTCAGTTTACAATTTCTTTTCCCATAAGATTTTATAATAAATTCAATTTCTATTAGGAATTAATTTATTCACTTTAAATTATGCAATTAAAAGATGCTACTAATTTTTCTCCGCGATTTTGACAAATATTGATTAACGAAAAAAATTGATTAATGAAAATAGACGTCTCTTATAAACAATTTATTTCGATGATTGATCGAATCGATGTTTCATATATAATTATCTATTATTGCGAAAAATGATTGTATTATTTATTAAGAAACATCATAGTAATTCGCTTAATTGGCATGGGCGGATGTTGAAGAGAACATTTATTGTTCCTTAGAATTTGAAGAGATATTAAGCTTTAAATATGAGATATACATTAAAAAGAAGGTTAATGGAAAAACAAGTTTCAACGATGTTTGACATTTGCCTTAGAGGCTAATATAATTGGTTATTAAGTGTATCGTATAACAGTATATATCTTACTCTCTAATTTCTTATAATATGTATGATATTTAAGTGGAAATTTATCGAACAATTGTAGATTTCACTTTTGTGAAATCTGCCTTATTCGGAGCGAGTATCGTCATATAAGAATTTTGTTTTTACTTAGAAACTTTTTAAAATCTTGAAAAACTGTTATATTGATCTTTATTATTTTTTTTTTATCAATATTATGAAGAAAATACGATGATAATTTATTAATTGTTACAAATCATATGAAAATTTTTCTTGGTATTACGCATCATTGGTTTGTTTTATATAATATAATAATTAGAATTGAAATTTATATTTTGGTTGTGTTTTTTAATTAGTTCAATCATATTATTATATATTTAGGCGAATAATTTTTCTGCCAACTTATAAAAAAACGAAGAGAAAAATAAAAATATAGGATATTTATAAAAAACAAATACATCATTTATTTTGCGTTTTAAAAAATATTTCAATATTTGTTTTTTTGCTTATTCGATTCAAATACACGTACGATTCTTGCATCTTGTAACTTTCAAACGTGATAAAATCGATTTCGAGATGATTTAAAAAACAAATTTTGGGATTTCTTTTTCAGGAAAATAATAATTTAATATCATGATTGTGTTGATACTCATTCGAGTATTTGTATGACGCAATACAAATATATATTAATAATATGCATCGTAGTTAATATACGTCGGCCTTGACCGTAAACCTTTTTGATAATCGAGTCGATGAGACTTCGATAATTCTCTATTCTTTCATCGTGTTTTACGCTATTATATATGCACTAAGAAATCTTAGGTGTTCTTTTCTTTTTTTCTCCTTTTAAATATTTTCAGGAAATCGAGTTCCTCTTGTTTTTACTATTAGCATATAGGTTTCAATCAAGTTGTCTCATTTTACAATAAGCATCCTGTCTTCGTATCGCCTCGAAGAATACAGTGTATCGTGAAAACGAACGCTATTATATCAACTAATAACTGCGCAACAAGCAAATATCATCTTTGAAAATCAATACAATGACACAACATATGTATAGTAGCTTGAAGTGTTTTAATACCACAGAATATTTAAAATTTAAAAGAAATTTTTGAGAAATAAATTGTAAATGCACTTTGGATTTAATATTACATTTCGTAGTTTGATATTAATTTTTTTAAAAATAATTTTTGAAAAATAATGTTTATTATAAGATTCCATTTCATTTGTTTAATATACATGTGTCAATTGAATAATATAATTATCAAAATTTTTTTTCAATATTGGACAAAATTTTTCAATTTTTAATCGAATTTTTTAAAAATCGAACAAGAATATTCATTGTCTGTTTAAAAAATTGATTAAAAAATTATTAAAAAATTTTATCTCGAATGGAATAGGATGTGAATAGAATGCACAAATGTAATATCTTTGAGTGAAATCCCATCTCGGAATCGTTAAATTCGCGATGTGTTCGATACGGAGTCCGAATGACAAATGAGGCAGAACCGTGATTCTCTCTCCTTTATATACACAGCGATTATTATTTTTGTGCAAATCAAGCACTAATCAAAATTATAATACAATCTTATTGTTAGAATAATTTTCAACTTTATATTTTAATTAAATAAATTATATATTATATTTTAATTAAATTAATTAAATAAAACTAAATATTTTAATTAAATTCTAAAATTTTTTTATATTATAATTCTTGGAAATTTTATTAATTTTAAAATTTTTCTAAAATTCATATTATCATATACTTGTAGATATTAAGTTTATTATTTTACATATGTTTTTCTTTTATAGAATCTTGGGTGGAATTGAATCCAGTTCCCGACAGGATAACACCGTTACCGTTTAGTAGTGGAGGTGAAGAATATCTTCGATTGCTTAGAGAAGCGCAAAGAGATTCTTTGCCCTCGTCAGCTAGGCATTCTTTGGCATCTTCCCGTCGAGGCACACCAAGGGATAGGTATTTGCTTTATTTAATCTATTATCGCCAACGTAAACGTTACTCCAAAATTCAATCTTTTGTTTTCTTATCCTAATACTATTATTTACGCAATATTACGCAAAATTAAAATGGCAAATAACAATTCAAAATAATATTGATATATAAAATAATATAAATTATTTATTACAAAATAAGAATTTGAAAGGAATTTTTAAAAATTAATTCTTTAAATCTTTCATAAAAGTTCTCGAAAACAATTTTCAAAAATTATTTTTCAAACAAATGTTTGTGCATTAAGGATGGACAGTTAATCTCAATGTAATATTTATTAGAAAAAACAATATTCCGAAGAATTATTTTTATGCGAGTTTATTATTTGAGAGCAAAATTCTCGAAAGTTGTACAGGAGAATATTTTTTTTTCATATATGGATTTTGTATTGAGAATATTTAATAATATTTTATTACTTTTAAAATTGTCATTCTTAAATAGAAGAATAAAATTCTTAAATAGTAGAATAAGAAAAATATTTTCAATAAACATTTTCAAGATTTTTATTATGGAGTTGCAAAATGGAGTTGCAGTAAATATGGGAATGCATTTGAGTAAAAAATTCTTGAGAGTTATTTTTTGTTAATGATTTTCGAGAATTTTATTGTCAAATATAATTGTATCCTGATGTTACTATCTAAATTGTTTTCTTTGGAAAAATAAATCCACCCAGTTTTTGAGAAGGGCCATTAAAAAAACCCGGTTTGCCTTATCCTACGTATGCGAGCACGAAGGAACTGGAGAAAAAGAGGAGGAGGAAAAAAAAGTAAATAATAAGCATGAATCAGATGTCGGAGGGAGAGATCTTTTTCTGGCCGGTTTCTTTGTACTCGTTGGAACATCTCAAGAACCCGTGGATGAAAGAAGGAAAAGGCAAACAACGCCATGCTCTCATCGTATTTGTGATCTGTTCGTATAAGTAACTTTTTTTTGGATCCTTTTTTTTTTTATGTCTATTTTTTCTTGTTGTTATAGCATTAGAATTATACACGAAATTACGAATACTTTATAAATGATACAACAGAATTTGTATATTCGTAAAAGTAATTAATTCTAAAAATTTATTAAATAGAAAACATGTATAAAATTTTATTAATCGATTAAATCTTGAGATTATTAAAATTAACATCGATGCTAAACAATTAAATAATAATGAATAAATAAATAAGTGATACATCTCGAGATAAGATTTTTTTTTTAAAGTTCGTATTTTACAAGCTTAATAATATACAATATGGAATAACTCTAATCATGAAATAACTTTAAAACGCAATCTTTTGTGATCGATAAAGGAGCAATAAATTTTACATGTAAGATTTCTTTCGTACACGTTTCTTTACATATTATACGTTTTCTTTATGATTTTTTTTTAAAGAAAAAGGAACATTAATATAATTTTACATTATTTGCGAATTAATGGCGCAGATGTTCGATGAGGTCATCTATTATCATTCGTAGTTCCGCGTGAAAGATAGGAAAAAAAATATCATACGATGCGGAGGTCATATGATAGAAAGTAATATACATATATAAGTTGATGTCGTGTTAAATTGTCGATAAGAGAAACAAAACAAAACGAAGAAAGAGGAATGCGATATTTTGTAAATTCTTATCATCTCTCTAATTTCCTTATCAGATGATTTTATCAGCTTGATAAATCTGCTTAACAATTGGAATCTTGAAATGTAAAAACGTTTATAACAGATAACAAAAAAAAAAAAAAGAAATATAAAAATTCATAAAATCTTCTATTATCTTATTACAGCCCAAAGAGTCCACCTAACAGTCCAAACACGGAATTATCAACCGAGGATGAACTCAAGGGAGTTTATATAAATTATTGCTGCAACAAGGTCAGTTTCATAATCGATTTCTAATATCTAATATGTGCCTGTGTAATTCATTACTACGACAAATAATTTTAAATGCTCGTATTCCTGTGCGTTCCTCCAACCATTTATTTGTCATGTTAAGGATCATCGTGAAATCAACAGACCGATTAATCGTTACGTATCCATTTATAAATCGAGGCACGATACGATTCCAAATACTTTCCAATAATAACACCTCCTTTTATAAATTCAATACAATCTAAAAAGAAAATTATATCGTCCCATTCATCTGGTCGTTGCTCTATTTTTCTCGTGACGCATGTCCAATCGAAGTACTTCAAAGAGATCCATGCAACTGGTTTTATCGAACGAAACAAAAGCTCGAGGGGCCACACTTTCCATGCAAGGTCTACAGATCACTGACTCCTCTGACGGCACACCTCTTCTAGTATGCACTGTAGGTCATAGAACACGCGAGGCATTTCTACGCTAGTTCCTGCATTCTTCTGTAGGCGTACAATGTCGAGTTTTTAAACTGATAAATATAACGCGGCAGAAATTCGGAATGTACAGATTGTTGTATCGTTATCTGGACGATTTGGTGGCTTGGTTCATTCAAGCTTTGTGTATTTAACCGATATGAAAATCAATACGCCTATATTTAAATCAGGCTGATAATTGTATCAGGATCTTTATTTACCCATGATTTATCTATCCATGGTTTATTTATCCCTCGAATGGAATGTTGTTTTTTTTTTCAACTCTACCCTCGTTGGAAACTATCATTAAGGTATATTTTGTTTAATTCGTTCGATCACAGACAAAAGTTATCAGTAAAAAACAATATCATGCAATATGCATGATATCGACGATGAAAATAACGACAAAGACAATTATACAGAGGTGGAATGAGTAATGATAACGTGGTGCGAAGAGGCGAGCATTTTCCATGAGTCAGTTGCTCAACCGTGTTTTCACTACGTGTTTTCAACAAGCTTCTTTGTGTCCCCCGCCAATCTTTGTCAAAGCAAGGTCTTTGGAAAGCTAAGCGTCGCCGAGTCTTCTTTGAGAATCTTTCGTTTCTCGTTTCAACCGCTTAGATAATGCATTAAAAATAGAATATCTTAAGGAGCTTCTGTTTCCCTGGCACTCCGTCCACCTTATCTCCGATGCGATACTCTTTTCTTTTTATTATTATTGTCCATGCACCGCGAACGTGTCGATTCATTCCACGTTCTTCGTGTCTCTTCGTTCCTTTATTTTTAACACATTAAATACATGAGGGAGGGATTAAATCGATGGGAATGAACGACCTTGATATTCAAACCAAATTCAAGAGAAATAAGAGGAGGAAAGGGAAGAGGAAAAAAATATAATCATAAAAAATACAAGTTAGTTCCGCATCAACGAACGAGAGTTTGATACTCTAGCTACGCATTACATATTCGTAATCATAGACGCGCATTTGCACTCTGTTATGCCTCGTAATCCACTTACCGATCAAGGATACCTGGATTCGCAGCTATAGTTTCGTATTTTCGCAACTACATACTTTATGTACATTTTCTATATAGAAACCTTGATAAACTTTACCGAGTGTCGTTATCGATCCTTGTTGTCAGCATGTGGAAAGATTCGAGAAATGCGCCAAATTGAGAAAGTAATTTAAATCGAATCGAGGTAAAGGGAAGGGAAAAAAAGTTTCGTGCATTTACCAAAGGAAGAAACTTATACGACTATGCATAAGTTTTACACTGTGCTAGTTCGTTCACCTGAGTTAGTGTTTATCGGTGTTACGCGCATATACACCTCCGTTACGGAGGACAGATCACGCGATCGTGAACGAGCGAATCGCTGCTCTCTACGTTTATGCTTAGGTCTTTTTCATACAATAAGATTTGCTTCATTAAGTTTAAATCATGCATACCGTATATAGAAACTCAATAAAATGTTTCAGACAATTGTGACATTGATGTTTATACTCTCGTTCGATTGGTCCGCATGTTTATACAGTTAACAAAACATGAATCACGACAATGTTTTTTAATGGATATATTTTAGAGGATTTTGAAAATGATGATGATCTTAGGATTCGAGATTCGATGACATTTTTCAGTTATTAGCACTTTCAGTAGCCATCGATATTATCTTAGATTCTTATAAAATTTTTGGAAAACATATACGAATATCCTCAAGCGGTCGATAAATAGATATTGCCATCGATGTTTAAGCTTTCTATATCTTCGTTGTATCTCATACATATCTCTGTGGTACAAGTATTATCGCGTGAAAGAGTTCTTACACTTTTCTCATCTCGGGCAAAAACCGGTCCTCTTGCTCGATTCGAGGAACGATTCAAGTTGATGGAGAAGAAGAGAAGGAGAAAGAAGGGTATATATATATATATATACTTTATATATATACTTTGATACATTGCGCTTGTGCAGAATTAAATCGGTCGGCCGTTATGCTCATTCCGAAAGCATTCATGCTGTTACATGGAATGTGATGAATCCAAGTATAAGATGATTATGCGTTATTAGGCAACATGTTAACGATGATTAATTATTGTATATGGAATTATGGTGATATATATATATTTATGTAGTAATATGTATAAGGAATATAAAAAAAAAGTTGACAAATTATATTTTTTAATTTTTACAGGAGAATTTAAATTGAACTTAATATATTATTTTGGAATTTGTCAAGTTTTTCACTTTGTTGATGAAAAATAGAAAATCAATAAGAATGAATTCCGAAAATTCCAAATCTGTATCAAGGTTCCAAGATCAATATTACAATTTAAGAATTTCAGAAATCCAAAATTTGAATCGAATTTCAAAATTTGAACTTTTGCACAATTAATGAAGATAGAAAGTCTGTTTATGCGTCGCAAATTCTCAAGAAATTTAATATAGAAAGGTGGCGTGAAATAGAGAGATTAAAATTTCTTTCCTGTTTGTTACATGAACATGTGTATTTTACTTTCAACCCATTTCAAAGAGGAAATTACATTTCCGAGTATAATTCCATGAATCGCCTTCTAAATCGTGCAAAAAGTTTATTTGCAATTACTTTGTAGAAAGGATTGCAGATGGATTCTCCGCTTATTTAATAATTAATAGTAAGTACATTTCGCGCGTTCAATACGAAACAGCAAGTGTTAGTTTCAGCATACCAATTCGAGTGCTAAACTATGCGCACGCGTTCTATGCTAGTAGTTTATTTATATTTCTATTCTCATTTATTCTACACCTAAGAAAAGCATCGCTACCTAAAATCCATCTCTTCAACTGTATTCCATTTCGCAAAATAGCGAAATAGCTACTACATTATAACTAATGATTTTATCGAGATGCTGTAATCATTCATCGACTTTTAAAGTTTTCGCAAGCAATTAACTCTTAATTAGAGAGAAAATTAAATTTCGATTTGATCTCTGCGAGATTATTTCGTCATTTGTGATTGTTTTCAAAAAGATCGCCATTAAATGAGTCGATATAAATCATGTGTTAATCGTTCCAATCGGTATTTTCCATTTTTTCGAATAATCAAAATATATCAAGGATTTTAAATAACATTCGTCGCTTATCTCTTATTATGATACATCAATTCAATCGGTGAACTCGAATCTGAGATGGAATAGATAGATTAGAAATAAATAATCGATTTCGACGTTAGAAATATGAAGTGATTATAGAAATGAATTATTGCGTTATTTCCTTCAGAGTTTCTAAATCATTGATTCTTCTCTAGTAACAAATGGCTATAAAGTAAAGAAAATAAGGATTCACATGCTTAGAAATTCCTTTATGCTATGCATAAACAAAAATAATTGTGATTATTCATCATCATTTTCTTGTAGATGATCTCGCAGAAGATCAATTTTATGCAGATTCATAACATGTTACATTAATCAGCAAAAAATGCAGCATTCAATTAAAGAAGTTTATTGGAGAGGGAAAAAGGACCGTGCCAATGGTCACGTACACCATCCTCCACGAGTTTACAACCTGTGATCCTTGTCACGTACCCAACAAGGCAATCATGATTATTTTCAATATCTCTTATTTTCAAGAAGAACAAAAGAATGAACACTATCTATTTTGAATAAACATCCATTTGATACGCTTTTATCAAATATATATTGTATTTTGGATTTGTATAGAAGAAAAACAATTTTACTTAATTCTCATGAAACACGGTGAAAACACAACTCGGACAAAGAATAATGGAGATATATGCGGAAAGTGCAACTCGTCATTGACCCTCTCGAGGCAAAACTGTGGAGAGTTACATAGTATTACATAGTGAAATGTCGTCGGTAGCTAGGGGTTTTCTCGCTGAACGAGGTCCGAAGCCGGCAGTGGACGTAATTCCCGGTTATTACGTTCGCGAAAGGGAAGTAAGGGACGTACCGAAGAAGAAAGAAACTTGCGGCCAATTGCGGTTTGAAAAGAGCGAGATGAAGCACGCCAGGCCACTTTTCAACCGAGTCGTTAGCGGTCGAATGGTAAACCAATTCGAAACCATGCCGAGATGCAATATTAACTTCATGCGCGATAAAGAAATGAATTCGTCGGAATTGGCTAATAGTCGCTAGACAGTCGCCATTTCTTCAAGACAAAACATGCATGACCTAGTTTTCTTGGATCGTATTTTACAATAGTTTTTTTTTGCGTCTCAAGATGTCGTAACCTCCTTAAAATTGAATTTTGATGCGTAATTTTATTACGGTCTTTTATTTCGTCATACTCTACGTGCTCTACTTTCGAGAAGAAACTATTACAGTCGAAGCGGAGAAGATTGATTTTTAAATTATATATTGGAAATTCGAAAAGCGGATATTTGCACATGTGAATTACGTTCTTCATTTTAAAAGCAGGGATATTTTTTTTTTCTTTGCCTATTTTTTGTAAACGATGATCAAAGATGATTCTAGATAACATGGATTGACATTATTTATTAATGTATAAATAAATTGCAAATTTTTTTAGAATTTTACAAAAAAAAAAATAGAGCATTTTATAAATTCGCATCTATTACCTTGAACTAATTATCAGTCATCAGTTTCGTCTAGTCGTGTGTGGGAAGATTGACACGTACGATGAAATCAACCGAGGAAAATCCTTTTAAAGCTATTCTTCGTTAATCGCAACCTAGTTAGACTTATTCATGAGTCCTTGGTTTGCTTGCACGTTGCAATGTTTATTCTAAGTGCATTGAACTCTGAGACTTATGCTCCTAGCATTCCTATAATATATATTCCTTCTTGCTGTGTTTAGAATTCTTCTTTCTATATATATATATATATATCCCTTCTTTTTATATTCGATTTTATATACAACACAACTGTTCTCTTTTTTAACATCCTCGTTTTTTGTACATTTTTATATTTTGAGTAGTAGAGATCCTTCTAAATTAGTTAAAATTTAGATTATGGAACCAATAAAAATGATTTAATAATAGTGATTTTAATTTTTTAGTTTTAATTTTTAGATTTTTTTCGTTATGGAACTATTTATGAAAATTTATGACACCGAATTTCGTTCGGACGTTTTCGAGCATGAATTCGGATTCGAGAAGTATCGTACGTACTCGTAGTCGAGATTAACTACGCATTACTCAAAACACTATTTCAAGAACGTATGTTCAGTTGACGATCTTGGCAAATGGTATGGATAAATTAGATCATGGATAACGAGAGAAAAATATTTGTATTTATGTTATATTATATTTTCATAATTTTACATATATGTTGTAATTACTATGGTGACATATATATATTGTCTCGCGTGAGTCATGCAAGTATGATATATTTTTAAAATTCTACGCTAGTTACGTGTGGTTATTTATGATAATGTCATATTGAAATTATTTATTATTTATTATCATATCAATATATTATATTTTTTCGTTATTTTATTTATTGATTCTACGAATCTATCAATATATTTATGAATATTATTTATATTTATGAATATTATATCGTTAGGCAAAAAATGTATATTTATTCTGATTCTCTCCTCTTCTTCTGAAAAAAATTATTATTATTATAAAAAAATATTATTGATATAATAATTAATTAATAAAAATAAATTCATAGTACGATTTCGATATCATGAAGATTACTGTAAATAATAATTTGATTAAATTCATTACATGATTCATTGAAATCTATATATGCGTATATAATAATCAATTTTTCTCTTTAAAACATAGAATTGTTTATAAATATGTATACGTTTTATTTGATAAGACATAATCTATATATAAATATATCGTATGTTATATATAATCAAATGATACGATGATCATTTCTCGTATCTTGATTGGTTGATTGCCAAGTCAAATTATTCTTGAATATTTTTTACATTGTTCATAAATAAAAAATATATGTGCATTTTATCTTTGAATAATTACATGTTTCATTCGTTGCAAATTTTAAATTAAAATTACTCGAGTATTCGAGTTTCACAATAGATATTCGAATAATAGACTGTATTTGTTAAGAGGCATGGACATAAAGACATTATTTTAAAAATTCATTTCAATTTTTTTTTTCCTCAATAATGGAAAAGAATAGAACAATGAAAAAATGATTCATTTGTTTCAGGATATTTCAATACATTCTTAATACATTCAAAATTGATTTACAACGATTATATCGCGTTTTCATCGCATGATAGAAATCTTGATCTTGATAATTTTTGCATCGATCATTTTGGTCTCGATAAGTTAGATAGGTCGTGTAATGAAAAACCAGCCATTCCTTTATGTTGTTCGTGTAAAAACGGCCGCCTGGTAAATTGATCGGCGATTTCAATTGACGTAGGAATACGTGTATCTTCAATTTCACTCGACGATACTGGATCCATGTGCACCGTTTAAACATTTTTAAATCGGATTAAGTCGGATTACGTAGTCAAGACGGACGATGCTTTTCATAAGAGTATTTTTTTCTTTTTTTTAAAGAGGATTAAACAGATTCCTTAACATTGTTTTTTTTTTTTATATGTGCAGGAATCCGAATTTCTGGAGAAGAACACCGATTGGATCTATGAATGGAGTTCGCGTCCGGATCAAGCACCACCGAAGTATGAGAATTTGCTATTTTTAATACCTCAATCGTAAGACAAATAGATCTTTTGATCGTGTACAACAAGGCATTTATCGATTTTTCTATATTTCACTTTAGAGATTGGAAATTCAAGCATCCTCAGGGAATGAATAAAAGAAAATCTTATAGCATTCGTACAACGAAAGTGGGAAAAATTGGATTGTTCTCAAAAGAAGTCCTTTATACTCTTGTTATCACGAATATTCTATCCGTTTTGGTTGGAGCTGGCTTGGGGTAAGAGAAACTGTTTGACAACATATCTAAATCTTTTTCTTTAAAAGCATGATAACGATCAGAATGCTTTTAAAACTCTGCACGGTTGTTTTAGGGTTTGGTTGTCCAGGCGGGGATCGATAACGACCAGCGTGACCATCGAGTGAAAAAAAAAAGACCAGTACACGAAAGTCAGGATTGCTGCGTTGGAGTTTGCGAGAATACGGAGTATAGGGTTGGTCTATTTCGAGCCGCTAGAAAGACTGAAAAGCCAAGAAAAAAGGGTCGATCGAGCCTAACAAAACACACAACATATTATTTCGATTACCACAATTTAATATTAGCACTTTTTATTCTATTCTTCCCTGCCCGAAAGAAACTTAACTTACGGTGTACTTTATTGAACGCCGTATTATTGTGTAAGTCATATGCAATTATATGCTTAAAAAAATGCTTAAAAAAAAAAAAAAAAAAAAAAAAAAAAAAAAAAAAAAAAAAAAAAAAAAAAGAAAAGAAAAAAAAGAAAAAATAATATGGTTATATATTTAGCGTTGTTGAGGAAATAAGATAATGTCCATTTTATACCATTTCTAATGCGTTTCTATCAGCGATAGTCTGTAGGTATAGCTTGGATAGTATTTATCGATAACAATTATTATTCGTTAATTGAACAGAAAATAAAGATTTGAGAAAAAAAAAATATAAAGAATATTTGCGTAGATATATATGTATATGAAACGTTTTGTGTATGAAAACGGTTAGGAAAATGAGAGCGTGTATGAAAAGAAGGAAAAGAAAGAAAAGATTTTTTGCGATGAGAGAACGATTTATGCAGTGTTGATTACATCTTTGTTTAGATTACGAATATTCTGCTGCACTAAAATTTGTGCGTTCGATGTTGGTACGAACCCAAGAGGCGTCTTTGCTAGTTGTTTCGTAAAGCGAAATGTGATAGAAAAGGTGGTATTTAATTAATGGAATTTCATCCTTTTATTGAATTGAAAGGAACGATCGATATGTTTTTACAACGTACATTACGATGATACGATTGTTTAAGCATGTGGTAAGTTTGATTATTCGTTCCGTTCTCATACACTTTGGATTTTATATAGTTACGACCCTTAAACGAGATGT